AGGATGTGCCAAAATGGCGCGGGGCCGCCATGCGAACCCTGCCACGGGGGCCTTCGGTGGAGCTCCCTGTGGGGCCACGAACCGTGTGAAGGGTGCGCCAAAATGGGGCGGGGCCGCCATGCGAACCCTGCCACTGGCTATAGGGCCACGAACCGTGTGAGGGATGCGCCAAAATAGGGCGGGGCCGCCATGCGAACCCTGCCATTGGGGCCTTCGGTGGAGCTCCCTATGGGGCCACGAACCGTCTGAGGGGTGCGCCAAAATGGCGTGGGACCGCCATGCGAACCCTGCCACTGGGGCCTTCGGTGGAGCTCCCCCATGGGGCCACGAAACGTGTGAAGGGTGCGCCGAAATGGGGCAGGGCCGCCATGCGAACTTTGCCACTGAGGCCGTCGGTGGAGCTCCTTACAGGGCCACGAAACGTGTGAGGGGTTCGCCGAAACCGGGCGGGGCCGCCATGCGAACCTTGCCACTGAGGCCGTCGGTGGAACTCTGTACAGGGCCACGAAACGTTTGAGGGGTTCGCCGAATGGGGCGGGGCCGTCATGCGAACTGTGCCACTGGGGCCCGTCGGTGGAGCTTCCTATGGGCCACGAAACATGTGAGGGCGCCGAAATGGGGCAGGGCCGCCATGCGAACTTTGCCACTGAGCCTTCGGTGGAGCTCCCTTTGGGACAACGACACGTGTAAGGGGTTCGCCGAAATGGGGCGGGGCCGTCATGCGAACTTTGCCACTGGGGCCTTCGGTGAATGGGGCGGGGGCGCCATGAGAATTTTGGCACTGGGACCTCCGGTGGAGCCCCGTAAAGGGCCACTAAACGTGTGAGGGTGCGCCGAAATGGGGCGGGGCCGCCATGCGAACTTTGCCACTGAGGCCTTCGGTGGAGCTCCCTATGGGGCCACGAAACGTGTGAGGGGTGCGCCGAAACAGATACATGCGGAGAGGAGGGACAGGGATGGGAAGAGGGAGGAGGGGGAGGAAGGAGGCCGAAGGAGGAGAACGCAGGGCGCCGTCTCTTGAAAACGAAGACCCAACACTACAGGATGGCTAGGAACAATACAAAGTTCACCTCACGGCTAAATCTGGATCATGCGCGACCACCCCGCAATCACTGTGAAGCGGTTTTTGACAGGGCATTGCTGTTCAAGAAGGATGGTGGGGGGGGCATAGCTGTTCGACAAGGATGGTAGGGCCGACATGTTTCCCGATGTGTGCTGTCACGTGCGCAGGCGCACCTGACACACTCTGCGCGTGTCCGAACGTGGCGCACCTGGCACGGCTGGAAAATGCGGCACACCTGGCGCACGCGAAGCACGTGGCGCATCTGGCGCACCAGGCGTGCCTGGCACGCTCGGGCCCCAAGGGTGCCTGGCGCGCCTGGCGCGCCTGGCATGCGTGGCGCACCTCGCCCCAGCGTCGCGCACATTTGGTCGGTTTGGGTTACCAGTAGCTGCCCATCCAAAGACGACCGCTGAACATGCTGAGGCTCGGGACTTACTTGTGTGGTGGGAGGGCGGGTGGGCTAGACGGCTTGCTATCCAGGGGGTGTCTTGACCCCTGCCCCTACCCCCTCCCCCTGGACCTGGAAGGAGGGGGCGGCGTGGCGTTGGAGCGTCCAAAACGGCCTCGGCAAGAAGGCAAGAATCAGTGATGTTATTAAGGTGTTGGGGCCATTTGGGCCTCCTGGGGGCTGCGATTTACTACCCCCTTGTTGTTGATCGATCTCCTCCAAGATGGCCCCAAGATGGCTCCCAACGCTCCTGAGAGTGCCTCAAGAGGACCCCGAGAGGCTCTCAACATGTCCCGAAGAGGCTCCCAAACCTCGAGAGGCTCCAAGAGCTCCAAGAAAACTCCAAGAAATTGTCAAGAGGCGTCCGAAGAGACTCCAAACATCCCAGAGGCCTCTTGCGATCTTGCTCGCATTCCTCCTCCTCCTCCTCCTCCTCCTCCTCCTCCTCCTTCTGGTCCTTCGCCTGCGCTTCCTCCTTCCTTCTCCCTCTGCCCCCTCTCCCATCCTCCTCTTCCTCCTCCTCCTCATCTTCCTCTTTCTCTTCCTCTTCCTGCAATATCCTCCCTCCTTCATATTCCTCGTGTCCTCCATCCTCCCACTCTTGGGGTATGACGGCTTCTCAAGCCTGTTATTCCACTGCATGCTCCTCGACACCTCAGCAACTCCGCCTTGGCATCGTTTCTGGGTGGGCTGGCAGGACTACGCGAAGCGTCTAGAATATGGCAAGCAATGCTTACGGTGAAGACTGCGAGTTTTGTTTTAGGCACGCCATCAAGTTGAAAATCCGCTTGGCCCACTCAGCTACAGTCGCCTGATCCGGCAACTTCACGACGGGGAGAAACTCCGCGTGACCCGCAATCGCCATGCCAACAGTACAGTTACTGACGGTGAGATACCGAGAAGCCTTCCACCAGCATCGACAAAACCTCGACGCCGGTTTCTTGTGCTCTGGGCGGGAAGCTCAACCACGCAACGAACTCAGAGGTCATTCCTCGAAATTATGTGCTTCGGAATGCCCAACGTCGCCAAGCAGTGCCTCCGTCAGACGACATCTTGTCCATTTTCTGATCTCATCTTCATGTAGGTCCCGCATTCGGAAATCAGAAATGTTAGATCCAGCCTCGTCTTCCCTATCGGCGATGTTGTAACGCTTCGCCACGACAAAATCCTGCCCCGTCGACGGGTTCTTGACTCTCCTCGGTGGCGTTGTGCACCTCCTCGGCACAAACGACGGAGGCGGCGGTGCAGGAAGCGCAGCCATCGCGTCCGACCTCTCGACATGAAAGGTTCCCACGTCGTCCTTGTAATTCCGTGGCGGAGAAGGAAGTCGCAACGGAGGAGCCCTGGGCGAGAACGTAGGGAAAGCAGCCGCCGCAACTCTTCCTCCTTCCACCATCACCCCCTTGCCCGCAAGACAACGAAGGAGACGCGACGGCAACGACGGAAGGACAAGAGAAAGCCGAAACCGGGATGCGAGAGAGATGAGCGACGAAGAGAGAAGGCCTAGCCAAAAGGCCAGCCTAGACGCACCAAGCACATAAAACTTGGCGCACTACACTTGCGACCAAGCACCGCAAGCCAGCAAGGCAACACGGCGTGGAGGGACGACGGGACGAGGGGACGACAACGACTAACGATGAGCGGAGGCCAAAGCCGAGAAAGCGAGAGAGACGAAACGACCGTGACAGAATGAGAGAGAGGCAGCACTGCCACAAGGCCGGCGCGACGCAACGCATGGCAATGAAGGGACCCTGGGACACACAAATAAATACACACAAACGAAGAACTTCCACATATTTTCGCATATTGTCTGGGCTTTTGTCTTCCCCCCCACTTCCCATATTTTCCCTATTTTCCTGGGGATCGTCGATTAATTGTGTCTGTGTGTTTTTTGTTCCCTCTTGAGGCAAAGCCACGTGGCAAGGAGAGGGACGACGAGACCAACAGGACGACGCCGCGGACAGGCGCGACGCGGAGGCCGCAGCCGGGCACGGCGAGGAAGACGAGAGGACGACGGCGAAGAGAGGAAAGGAAGAGTGCGATCACCGACGCGTCGCACCCAGCGAGCTGGGGACGCAAAGGGAGCGGGAGGCAGGGGAGAAGCCCCCTCTGCACGGCGCCCCCCCCGACGCCGGAGCACCGCGAAGTGCAGCCGAGGTACGGAAGGAGGAGGACCGAGGGGGCCAGGGCGGAAACTGCACCGAACCCGACGCGAGGGAAACGCGAGAGGCACTGCGGACGCCCAGAGCGAGGCGCCGAAAACGCGAGGAGGAGGAGGAGGAGGAGAAGGCGGAGGAGGAGATGGAGGAGGAGGAGGAGGAGGAGGAGGAGGAGGAGGAGGAGGAGGGGAGGAGGAAGAAGGATCGGGATCTCGATTCTTTCCTCGAACTTGCCGCCAGGATCCCGACTCGTCCGCGGAAGAAGAGTCGGGATCCTGGCAGCACTCCCGAAAGACATCGACCCAAAGGGTGGGCAGCCTGGCCTAGGGCCTAGGCCCTAACAGCGTAACAGCGATGCCACCTTGAGCGACCTGGGAAAGGCGCGACCACGACAGAGCGGAAGAAGGGAGGGGGCAAGAGCGGCCGCCAGGAAGGAAAAGGCTCGCGACGCAGGCCAGGCGGTGCTGCGCGGCCGCCCACCCGCACGCACCCGCGCGGCCGCGCACGCACTCGCCCGCGCACGCACTCGCCCGCGCACGCACGCGTGCGCCTTCCGCCGCCAGCCAGGTGATCCGGTAGGGGGATGAACGCTCCCCTGCTCCCACAAACCTAAAGCTGGCACGCGCGGGGAAGATTGCGGCCGAAGTGCAACTCACCCGGCCCCCCGCCAGCATTGATCACTAGGGGGGGCCTCGACAGATGCACGTGGCATCACAGGGCTGAACCTGAACGGTGTTTTTCGTTCTCGTTTTGTTTTCGTTTTCCCTCGCTTTTGCCTCGGATCCGCCTTTGCCGCGAGACGAAGTCGAAACGAACACGGCCCAAGACATCACCAAAAGCACCGTTCAGTCACGAGCGCTCGCTGCTCTCTTCCGAGGCCTGTCCCTCCGCAGCGAACGGCAGCCGGGCGCGCGAGCCACCGCGCCTCCTCCTCCTCCTCCTCCTCCTCCTCCTCCTCCTCCGCCTCCTCCTCCTCCTCCCGCTCGTCCTCCTCCTCCTCCTCCTCCTCCTCCTCCTCCTCCTCCTCCTCCTCCTCCTCCTCCTCCTCCGCCTCCTCCTCCTCCTCCCGCTCGTCCTCCTCCTCCTCCTCCTCCTCCTCCTCCTCCTCCTCCTTCCTCCTCCTCCTCCTCCTCCTCCTCCTCCTCCGCCTCCTCCGCCTCCTCCTCCTCCTCCTCCTCCTCCTTTCCTCCTCCGGCGTGCGGGGCGGGCGAGCAGCCGGGCAGGCGCAGGCCGCGGGCGCGCGCGCGCGAGCGCGCAGGGCACGCGCCGCGGAGGGGAGGCGGCAGCGGCGAGGGCGGGCGCCCCCGCTCCCCCTGCGGCGCCGCGGGGC